AAAGAGATAAGAATAAATGGGCAGATCTTATGACACGAATAGGTTTGTCAGCAGAAAAACAAATAGAAATACAAGAAGAAAAACTTGAAAAGGAAGGAATTGAATTAGTAAGCGTCAAAGGACGAGAATTGTATCCCAAAGGACCAAAAATTAGAAATCAAAAAAAAATTATAAATCAAAAAGAAAGAATTTGTCAGCTAAAAATTCAGAGTTATAAAAAGAGGAAGAAAAAGACTAACCAGAGAAATGGAAAAACTCCAGGAAAAAGAAAAAGAAATAGTTAAAAAGATAAAAGAAACACAAGAAAAATTATTAAAAAGAAATAATCAAAAATTAAAGAAATTAACCAAAAGAATTACAAAAATTAATAAAAATTTAGAAAGAAAAATAAGAATATTAAATTCAGAAAATCATAAAACAAAAATATTTATAATTAAAAAATTATGAGAAAAGAAAAATTTAATTCAAAAGGAAATAATTAGAATATACAGATTAAACAAAATCACAAAAATAATATATAAAAATGAGTCAACAAAATAGTCAAATTACTAGTCCTATTATCACTGAAGAAGAACAACAAAAAATTTTAGAAAATTTCGAAGAATATCAGAAAATTTTGAAAAATATTAAAAAACAAAAAGAAAAAGAGGAAAAAGAAAAAATCCAAATAGAAATCAGTGAATTGGAAAAGGAAATAGAAGAAAAATTAAAAGAAAGAATAAACTAGAAACAAGATTAGGAATGATCACTATAAAAGAACATAAAAAAGAAAATCACATTTCACAAAGGTTAGGAGAAATCAATATAAGACAACAAGAAATGTTTTATCCAGAAGGAATTGATCAACAAAATCATCGGGAAATAATCCAACAAGAAAGATTTTATCCAGAAGAAGTTGACCAAAGAAAAGAATTATATCCAGAGAATAGGAGATATGAAAAAGAATGGAAAGAATTTAGAGAAGGAAATCTTCAAGAAAACAACAAAACTCGTTCAATAGAAAGAAAAAGAAATACTTGCTCAAATTGTAATAAGGAGGGACATTACTTTCAAGATTGTCCAGAAATAGAATGTGAAATATGTAGAAAAAAGGGACATATTAAAAGATTTTGTCCAGAAAGAATATGTGGAATTTGTGATAAAAAAGGACATTTAGAAAGGGATTGTAAAAATCAAAGAATAATTAACGATTTAGGAAAGGAATTTTCGTTCAGAAAGAACTTTGAGGAAAATGGATACCAACAAAATAATAGTTATAGATCTGATTGACTAGGAAAATGTGAAGAATGTAAGACGGAAGATGACTTAGTAGAATATCATCATGTTGTGGGACATCATTGCAGATTAGAAAATTGTAAAGAAATATCATACGAGAAAGATTTAAAAGATCATCACTCACACAAAATCTGTAATAATTGTTATAAGAATATACAAAAGAAGGAAGAGAAAAAATTAGAATTTCTTCAAAAAATAGAAAAAGAAAAGATTAAAAGAAAAAATCAAGAATATAAAGCATTAGAATTTGCTCAGAAAATTACAAAAGGATATGAGAGAAAAATAAAAGGCTATTTATTCAGGAATAAAAACATTACAAATGAAATTATTGAGAATGCTAGAATAAGACATTTTGAGTGGTTAAGTATAACAGACCCAGAACAACAAAGTAAATACAAATATCACTGTGAAAGGGAACAGTGTTCAAGACCCTTGAAAAATTTACACTATATGCAGATCTTAGATAGAATTGTGTGCAGATCATGTGAAAAGATATTTGCAACACAAATATATGAAGAATACCTAGAAAAGACAAGAGGCTTAGTTAATGATTAGAATTAGTAATCAAAAAACGGATATAAAAAGGAGAGAAAAAAGATTTACTTTGTCAAAAAACGAAAATAAAATAATTATAATAATAAAAAATAAAAAATAAATAAAAATAATAATAAAAGATGACAAAAATGACAAGAAAGATTATTGGAGAAAAATCAGATAAATATTTATCTAATAAAGAAAGAACAAGAAGAATAGATAACCTTAAAAAGCTAGAAAACGAAGAAACAAAAAAATTAAGACAAAAAATAAAGGATTTGAAAACGTTTAAAAAAGAATATCAAGGAATCTTTGGAGAAGAGATATTTGAGGATGACTTTGAATATCATTTCAATGTAGAATTAAAATTAAAAATATATAAAGAATTGTGGTTAAGAAAGATGAAGAAACTAATAGAATAGTTTAGAATAATATTAATAATCAAAAAGATCTATAACTTTCCGTATCACGAACATTTTTATAATTTATTTTTATATAAATATCATGTATTTTGGAATCAGTTCAACTTAACGTTTTACTTTAAGTGAACTTGAAACCACACTAT